AGGAGAGCGAAATAAAAGAAAAAATCCCTGTGTCCCAAGGAAGCAGATGTGTCAGGAGGTTGGAGTAAGGAAGGCAGCCAGGCTTCTGCTCAGGAGCACCAAGCCCCAGGAAGGGGGGCACAGAAGCAGGGGTAGGCCATGTCTGTCACCCCCACCCCAGGGCCCTGGGGCGCTCCCCACCCACCTGGGTCATGGCCTTCGCTCTCTGTGGTGCTGGTGCTGAGAAGGTGCGTGGCTGCCCTTCAGCAGCCCTTGTGTTCAGAATGAGGCCTGTGTGTGTGTGTGTGTGTGTTACTCATTTCACCCCCATCCCCAGGATTTGGTGTCCCGGCCCTTGAAGTGGGTGGGGCAGGTTCCGGACCAGGTGGAGTTTCTGAGGCCCCCAGCCCCCGCCCCCTTGGCCACCTGGGAATCTACCAGGATTCACTCAGTTCTTATGGCTTCCCATTAATTTCCCCAGCTGGTCCTCCCAGTCCAGTGAGCATTAGCCCATTTCACAGGGAGGATGCAGGCTGGGGAGAGAAGCAACTCATCAAAGGCCACACACCTAAAGAGGGGGTGGGCAGCCAGGAGTTGAACCTGGGTCTGCGCTGGGTGCTTGAGGGCGGACTTCTGACACAGTGCCCAGAAATCTGCAGCCAGAGGGCCCGGGGTGGATTGGTGGGGAGGCCTGTGCCGCTTGTCTTTAGAATATTATCATTTGTACTGTGCTGGTCAGTCTGTGCCTCTGTCTCCAGTCTGCTTCGTCAGTTGATCCCTCAGCCTGCTTGGTTAAGGCCCCAGCTCCTCCCTGAGCAAGAAGAGAATGGCTCAGCATTCCTCAGTTTCCTCAGATGTCACAGCTGGGCCCCCCTCATTGAGTTGAGGGGAAGACTGAGAGAGGCCAGCCTATGAAGATTGCTGCTCCGTAACAGCAGCTAATGGGTGTTACTGTTTCTTTTCTGCTACCCAGTCTTCTGTTTCCAGCTCTTTCTCTTGAAGCTTTGGAAACAGAAACCCTAAATGATTGATAGCAAGTGAAGGTGCATCCCAAGGTCAGGCGTGGCCAACAGGTAGGGGCTGGTCTGTTTCAGCCATGCAGGGATGCCAGAGATTCCAGGTATGGGGTGCGGCCCTGGGCCCAGCTGTCAGGGCTCCCAGAGCAGCTGCTCCTCACAGCTGGGCTTGGCCATGTGAAGTGTGTTCCCGAAATCTGCTCTGGTGGTGCAGGATGAAGTGCCTGGCTTCGGGGAGCCTTGGGACAGCCCAGACGAAGTCTGGAGAAGACCTAACCTCACCTTATGCTTGGCTTCGAGGGCCTGGCCTAGAGCCTCTGACCCTCCAGCCTCCAGGGCTCCCTACTTTGAGGCTCAGGGCTCTCAGATGCTTCAGGAACCAAAGGTCCCCTCCCCAGGAGGTTCTTGGCCTTCTACCCCTTCGAGGGCAGAGCAAGGAGCAGGCAGAAGATGTACACGGTCATCTCTCAGTCCTGGGTGGGAAGGCGCATAGCACAGCCTGCTTCTGGGGTGATGCCTCTGCTCACCCATTCATTCCTTCATTCACTCATTGACAGACACTAACTGAGGTCTGCCATGAGCCTGGAAGTGTGTCCTAGGCACTGAGAGCTGATGAGCAAAAGGGACATGGTCTCTGTCCTCTTGGATGGGAACCTAATAAAGACACAGATGACGATATGTGCTTTGAAGGAAGGACTGTGAAACAGTGGGAGGGAAACATGGAGACATACCTCTTAGATTGGTGGAGAGAGGGTTCCGGGATTGATGTGACTGCATGCTGAGACCTGAACACTTGTCGGGGGAAGTGGGGGCAATATATCAGAGTCCTCAGAGCAGCATTATTTGTGATGGTAAAAGTTTAGAAATAACCTACATGTCTCTTAACAGAGAGTGGATGAATGAATTATTTTCTCAAAACCTGTAGGTATATGTTTTTAAAATTTTTATTCTCTTTAAGCTTGAAATATTTTATTAAAGAAAAAAGATACTGGAAGTGTGTATCTAGCAGGAGGAATGGCATGTGCAAAGGCCCTGAGGCAGAAACCTTTCCCAGTGAGGAAGCAAGTGAAGGCCCTGATTTTGCTCTGGAGGCCACCCCACTTTGGGCATCTCTCTGTTCAAAAGTCTGCTCTCAGCTGCCCCTGAGACCATAGGAAAGGCCCTTGAGAAGGCCTTCTAGCAGTCCTGGGTGTCAGCTGGAGGACACTGTGATGGTGGGGGAAATTGGACCACTGAATGCAATGCCTGCCTAAGCTAGATTTGTGGGAGGGGAAAACTTGGGGGTGAGTCAGCCCTCCTTGGTTGGATGCAATAGAGCCTGGTTGAGCTTCTTCCAAGGGCCTGTGGTGAGTCTTCTCTGTCTTTGTGGAGGACTCTGCCTGCTCACCAGGCCATCTATGTGAGGTGAGTCACTGTTTTCCCCCACGTCGTGAATCACAGACACCTCCGAGCATGTCTGTTCAGCCTGAACTGCACACACTGGTGAACTTCGACATCTGGACGAACAAGCTAGGCATGTGCTTCCGCACTGTGTGCATGGATGGCTCTTCCAGAACTCTCTGAAACCCATAGAAGCAAGGCCTGTAGATTAAGGATCACTAATCTGGTCCAAGACCTCACTTTCCTGATGTGGAAACAGAGGCCCAAAGAGGGGAGGTGTCCTTTTGAGGTCACGCAGAGAGGGAAGGAAGCAAAGGGCTTGGCTTGAGTGCATTCTCTTGGCCCTGAACGTGGGTCTCCATGTCCCTAGCTGAGATTAGTGCTGTTGACCCCTCCTGGGGGAAGATGTGTCATGTCTGACTCTGGCCCCTGAGCCTGCTGGGTGGGGTGGGAACCACGGGTGTGAGATTCTGGCCGGGGCGCTGCACCTGCAGGTGCTTCCTGCAGATGTTCTGCTGGGGAGCACTTCCCTCCCTCTCCGTGCAACCCTCTGGCTGCAGTGTCCTCCAGCATCTACTCGGAGCAGGGCAGTGCCCTGGACCAGGGCAGTGGCCCACTGTGGAGGGGCAGAGAGATGGCAGAGTCAAGCGTCATTTGGAAATAGAATCCATAGGACTTGATGGATGGTTGCAGGTGGAAGACTGTTAGTTGTTGCTGTGTAAGAGATCACTCAAAACTTAGCAGTGAGCACAACAATCAGCATTTGTTATCTCCTGGTTTTTATGGATCAGGAATTTGGGAGGGGCTTAGCTGGGTGGTTCTGGCTCAGGGTCTCTCTGAGGCTGCAGTCAGCATTGGCTGGAGCTGCCATCATCTGAAGGCTTGACTGGAGCCAGAAGACCCTCCTTCAAGGTGACTCATGGACATGGCTGGCAAATTAATGCTGGCTCTTTGTGGGGGGTTAACGCTTGGCTCCTGCCCACATGGGCCTCTCTGTAGGGCTACTGTGTCCTCAGAATGGCTGATCCAAGAGAGAACGGGGCAGAGGGCACAGTGACTTCCATGAGCTAGCCTTGGAGTCATAGTCTGTCATTTCTTCCATGTCCCATTGGCTACACAGGTTCACTGTGGGAGGGGCCTGCAGAGGCTGTGGAAGCCAGGAGGTAAGACTCACTGGGCCATCTTGGAGGCTGTTTACCACAGAGGCCTTGAGGTGGTGGAATCAGGAATGATACCTAGATTTTTGGCTGAGTGGCTGGGTGAATGGTGGTGCCATTTATTGGTAGGTGAGCATGTTTGGGTGAAGATTGGTGGGAATCAGGACCCATTTGGAAGACTTGACCTCTGCACCACTTCCCTGGCTTCAGGCTTTGGGGAAACTTTCTCAGGGCTTAGTTCTCATCTATCTCTTGAACTCACTCCATGTCAGCCTCATGGACCAGGAGTTAAGAACCAGGAATTCTTAGGTTCAAATTCCAGCTTAGCCACTTAGTGGCTGTGTGTCCTTGGGCCAGATACTTGGCCTCTCTGGGCTTGTTTCCTCATCTGCAAAAGAAATCCACTTTGTGCGGTGTCGTGAGACTCAGATGATGGAGCTGCAGCACTCAGGCTGGGGCCTGGCTCTCCCTGACCACTTTGCGCCTCAGGTTTTCCCAGCCCTTCTGTGCGCCCAGTCAGAGCTACATCATAACACACCCAGGTTGCTGGGTGGATTTGACTGGGAAGGATTTCTAAAGAGTCTGTTCAGCTTCTTTTAAGTAGATGATGCAAAAATTCTGGGGACAGCAGAAGTAATTATTACTCACAGGGAAATGCAAATATTTTTATGAATATCCTATGAAAAATTGGTGCATTTTTTTTATGAGCAAGCAGTCCTGTTTATTTCTCTAACAAAATAGCCACAGTTGTGCTTCAGGGGCCAACTTCCCATGCCAGTGGCTTTTCCTGGGAGTCAGCTCACCTCCCTCCTACTCCCTAACCCTTTCTTTTCTTCTTTAACCCAGAGAAAACATAACGAAGACAAAAGTGACCAATTTTGGGCTTTGCTGAGAGAAGGGGATTACTTTTGCTGTGAAAAGTTAATTTTTGTGGCCAAACTTTCTCAACTGTGAAAACCAATGTGGGCAAAAGCATAGTAAGCCCGAAAGTACATTTGGAAAATGACTTTCCTTGGAAAGGACATTTTTAAGGTCATTAGTGTTTGCAAGAGGACAGGCGGGGTCTGTTTTCTCTTGAAGGAGATGTTCGCTAAACTCCTACTAAAGACACAGAGGAGTAGCGGGAAAGAGGGGTAGGCACAGGGAGGGGATGCTTGGGGAGCCAGGATGGGGAGCCAGAGGGCTTAAAATCATGTTAGTGCCCACCGGGTACCTGGCGCTGTGCTAAGCACACTCTGTTGGACCCTTACAGAGGGCATTTGCTTATTACACCAGTTAGGAGATCGTGGCTCAGAGAGATTGGGGAGGTGTCCTGTGGTCACTCAGCTGGTGGACAGAGGACTCAGAGGTCCAGCCCCTCCTGTCTGATGAGAGTCCCTGCTCTTTCTATGTTGCTCTTGGAGAGGGGCTTTTGGTTCAGGGTCAGGATAACTGACACAGTGAGATGTGAGGATTCACACTGCAGGAGAAGGGCTGGGGAGGTTGTGTGCGCCCTGCCTCTCCTAGGGAAGGTGTTGTGTTCCCATTTTCAGGGAGGAAAATGCAGGTTCAGAAAAGAGTCCAGTGTGTGATGTGGTTTCATTGTTTTAAAATCCATTTGCGGGGAGATGGGTATAGCTCAAGTGGTAGAGCGTATGCTTAGCATGCACAAGGTCCTGATTTCAATCCCGGGTACCTTCTCCAAAAATAAATTTAAAAACCCTGATTACTTCTCCCTACCTCCCACCAAAATAAAATAGTTAAATAGTACAATGAAGCAAATAAAGTCCATTTGGAAACCACCTCTTCCCTTGTGGTCCTGCCTCTTGATCTGTTTATCCATCTATTCATCAATGATTTATTGAGCATTTCTTATGTGCCAAGCACTGTTCTGGGTACTCAGGAGACAGCAGAGAACAAAACAAAGATCCCTGCCCTCGTGAAGCCTGCGTTCTAATGGAAGGAGAGGTGGAGACAGGCAATTAAGTGATAAACAGAATCAATGAGCCACATAGAATGTTACAAGGTACAGAGGAAATTAAAAATGCAAAGGAAGAGAGAGATCAGGAGAGGCAGGCAGTGGTGCAGGCTGCAGGGTTAGAAAGGGTGACCGGCAGGTGTTCCTTTGGAGGGGTGGACATGCTGTGGAACTAGGTAGAGGTGGTGGCAGCACAGCATGGTGAATGTACTAAGTGCCACTGAGTTGTTCACTTTAAAGTAGTTAATTTTATGTTATACGAATTTCACTTCAATACATTATATATTAGGGGGAAAAAAGGTGGTCAGGGTCAGTTTCATGGAAAAAGTGATATTTGTGCAGAAGCCTAGAAGGGGAAGGTGTTCATGCCGAGGATGTTTTCTCCCAGGGAGAGGGAGGAGTGTTCCAGGCAGAGGGAACAGCAAGAGCAGATGAACTCCGGCGAACTATGACCTCGGGGCCAGATCGCTGGGGCCAAATCCCCAGGGCCAACAGCCTGCTGTTTTTGTAATAAAGTTTTATTGGAATATAGCCATGTTCATTTGTTTACATATTGTCTGTGACCCAGAGACTTCATCTGGCTGTTTTCAGAAAAAGTTGCGAACTCCTGAGTGAGAGCAAAGGTCCTCAGGTGGGAAGGTGCCGGGGTGTCTGATGAAGGTGAGGAGAGTGAGGCTGGAGTGAGTGAAGGAGGGAAGCAGGTGAGGTCAGAGAGACCACGGGGCCAAATCATGTAGCTCTCCTGCATGGCTTCCCTGTGGCACCCCTGGCGAATGTCAGGACAGATGCTGACATCATGCTGATGGGGAAATGTGTGCAAGTGTGTGTATTGTGGGGGGTGCTGTGGTAGGGTGGAGATATTGCTGAACTTGGGAGTCATAAGACCTGAGCTTTAGACCTGCTGCCTGTCCCTTGCCAGCTCTGTGTCCTGTCATCTCATTTGCAAAAGTGATGGTGGTGGTGGTAGTGGTAGTGGAATGATGGTGGTGATGTTGATGGTAGTGATGCTAATGATGGTGGTGATGGTAATGGCGGTAGTGGGGTGACAGTGGTGATGGTAATGATGGTGGTAGTGGGCATGGGGATGGTGGTGATGATAATGGCAGTGGTGATGATATTGGCTACACTTAGTGAGCTCCTACTCTGCTAGGCTCTTGCACACTTGGCTCTAGTCCTTAACACAGGAAGACAAATTGGGTAGCAGCATCTTCATTTGCAGGAGAAAACTCTGAGTGATTTAGGAAAGGCTCCACAGTGAGTGTGTGGCAGGGCTGGGATAACAGGCTGTGATCACCACTTATCATATTGCAGTGAAGAGGCCTCGAGGCAGTGGGCGTGAGAACCCCGGATAAGCACACTGTCACTCCAGGGCAGCAGCCTTTGGTGGTGGTGACCCAGTCTGCACTGCCCTCTGCAGGAAGGGTTTCCTGAGAGGGACCAGTTTCCTGAGAGAGACTGTCCCTTGGCCTCACTGCCCTCCCACCACCCCACCACCCCAAATCCACACCAGAAGCCTCTCTCTCAGTGTGGTGGGGAGGGGCCATGTCCTCCCACCCCGTCCCCTTGGCGACCAGCTAGCAGGCCTTGTGTTGGTTTGGGTTTTCCTAATTGAGGTTGTGGGATCCTTTTGGTTGTGGCTGAGGTTTTTCTGCTCTGGAAACCTGACTGTGTGGTGTGGCCATGAGGTGGGGCCTGGAGGTGCCGGGACCTGCCCGCAGGCCACAGGCCGCACAGGCCCCATGCCGCCCCCAACGCCTCATACCACTTCAACACTGCACTTCCTTTGAAGAACATCCTGGAGGTTTTAGGTTCTTGTCGCTGACAGCTGTGGCACCACGAAACGTTCCATGGTCAGGATAGCTGTGTGTCTTTGCCTCCCCATGTCTGGTCCCACAGAGGGCGGGGCCGGCCCGGAGGCCTGGGGCGCCGTAGTGCACCACTCTGATCTGCCCACCGCGGTTTGTGCCCACCCTCCTGGTGGGGTCCCTGTGAACAACGGAAGCCCCAGCTAAGCTGCCGAGTTCAGCTCACAGGGTTAACAGGGCCCGGAAAGACTTTCAGTCTCTCCCCACTCCTCTTCCTCCTGAGTTTGGGCAGGGTGCTCCCTGGCCTGGCTGCGTCTGCATCAGAGTGTCAGCCTTTTGAATAGAGCTGGGGCTTCATCCTGCATTCTGAGCCCATCCCTTGGTCTCTGCGGTGGTAAGGAAGGTCAGTGCCCCCTCGTGGTGAAGGTGGTGGTGGTGGTGTTAGGTCAGGGAAAGCACTTTTGGGTGGGGAGAGGCTCTGTGCCCCCAGACCTGCCTCCTCCCTCTCTTGCCCACCCCCTGGGGTCCTATGTCCAGCTCGGAAGGCTCTGGACACAGTTGAAGACACTAGGGCTACCTGATGCTTCCTGCCCCGAGGAACCTTGGACACGGCTGCCCAGCATCAGCGGCACAGTTCCCATCTCAGAAGCTTCTGGACCAGTGATACCTTTGGTGTTATGTTTTCTTCTAAACATTTCCATCAGTGGATAGTTATAGGGGTGTCCCCACCTGGGGCCACCAGATCCTGACCTCCCAGCTCGAGCACTCTGGGACAGTGGGGTAACCAAGGAGCAGAGGGCAGGGGAGGAAAGAGAAGGAGTCACCTTGATTCTGGGGCATCCAGGAAGCTTCACAGAGGAGGGTGCCCTGAGGCAGAAACCCTGTGAATACTGGATATTTCCAGAAAGTGAGACCTACAAAAACAGAATGAGGCCCCTAGCCCTGTGTTTGCAAGCTCCACCCCCCACCGCCCCACCTATCTGATCAGCTCTCTTATTATCTGTACCTACCGGATCTTAAAGAAGAACTCTTTTGGAGAATAGGGTTCTTCTGCCCTGCCCTGGCACCCCCCACCCCCTCCCATCCCAGTTGAGAAAGCGAGGCCCAGAGGGGTGGGCCCGTCTCCCTTTGACAGTGGTTGCCAAGTGCGCTGGGTTGGAGAAAGTCCCCTGCAGGCTGAGGTCACCTCTAGTACATGTATCCCTTTTGAAAAGGCTTGAGTCACTCAGTGACGCAGCTCTGACTGGCCCTATAATTGGGATCTTGCCTTGTTTGGGGCTGCACAAAAAGAGACTGAACGAACGAGATGCCACACACCCTCCCTATCAGCTTCAGCTGTGGGTACCACTCTGGGGACGCCACTCTGGCGGTGGCGAATGTGGCAGGGCCCAGGTGGATGGGACAGAAATATTGGTGGCAGGGAGAGCAAGCGTAGGAAGAAGCAGACACAGGGGTCACCTCCCTCATCAGGAAAACCAGCCTCCTCCGCTTTGCCTGTGGCCTCTGAGAACACCCATGGCTTCCCTGTGGTGATATTTTCTGGAAAGCCAGCCCTGCTGGCAGCGCTGTGGAAACTGAGTCCTAAAAGCTCACCTGGGAAGAAAGGAATTGAACAGACTCTTTAGCTCCACAGACGTCATAGGCGAACTTGTAACAGTACCTTCCACTTGACCGGCTGGAGTGCGTGAGTCATCAGCCTCTGTGGCTGGGAACACAGAGAGCGGTCCTTCCCACGTTCAGTCAGTAGGAGACTCAAGAACCTCCCAGACCTTGATCCAAATGCATTGAGAGCAGCTGCTCCAGTATTCATGGTTCTCACCCACCGCCCCCTCCAGATGTGTATTCTAAAGACCTGCTTTGCAGCACAATTTGAATTTCTAACACCTTTGGTCCCTGGCGTAGCATGACCTTTCCCGGTATCATGGCCCCTGGTGACCCAGAGCCATTCCCTGGGAGGGGCTCTGAGATGGGAAGGAAGGGGCCCTGCTGGGCAGCCGGGGGGCCCTTGTAGCCCAGGCCCTCTGTACCCCATGTCCTTCTGCCTTTAACCAGCAGTTTCCTAAACTGTTTTGCAAGGAAGGGTGGCCGTTTCTGTGGTTTCGCTTGTGTTCCCACTGGCCATGCCTGCTACTCCCTGGGGGTTCCGCTCTGAAAGAGCAAACTTCACTCAGCCCCACCGACCCGCCCCATCCGCAAGGGCCAGAACTAACTGATAGGGTTGTTTCAGAGTCTAGGCTGGCCCACGACATGTGGCCTGGAGAGAAACGATGAGTAAGCCAATCAGATTTGCTCCTTGGGGCTGCGGAGTCAGGAGTCCGGCAGACGGGCAGGGAGGGGGCTGCGGGGTCCAGAGGACTTGGGGCCTTGATGACTGCAACACAAGTCTGACACCGGCTACCCCGGAGTGAGCCAAGGCTGCACAGACGGAGCACAGTCCCCACAAGACTGTCCTCACTTCAGACCCGAGCCACGAGTTTGGGAGTCCCCAGACACACACACTTCTGAAAACTGGCTACAAAGTTTGAGGGACTCCCCCATCTCCCCGTCAGTTTTGATGATTCACTAGGAGGACTCACAGAGCTCAGGAGAGTGCTGTTCCCAATCTTATTCGAGCAAAAGGATACAAATATGAACCAGTGAAAGGGGGAGATGCACAGGGCCAGGTCTGCAAGGAACACGTCACCCTCCCCGTACAGCAGTATATGGTCACCAACCAGGATGTTCACCCAAGCCTGGTGCCCAGAGTTTTCACTGGGCTTTTATCACTCGAATCATTGGCCACATGGCTGAGCTCAATCCGCAGCACCCTTCCCCTCCCTGGAGTTTGGATACCATCGTATGGCTGGAAGCCCCAACCCTCTAGCCCCATGGGTGGTCACTCTGGCATGGCCAGCCCCAGCCTGAGTCATCTCATTAGCTTAAACTCAGGTATGGCTCTGGGGCCCCTCATGCGTAAAATCCACACCCCCCATCATTAAAGAAATTCCAAGGACTTGGAGGTCACCTCCCAGGAAGCAGGGACAAGGTCAAGTTGTTCATTTTTAAAAAAAATGTTTGATGGAGGGGTAGGTAGGGATTGAACCCAGGACCTTGTGCATGCTAGGCATACATGCTACCACTGAGCTACACCCTTCCCCCTCAAGTTCTTCATTATACAACAGCTGATTGGCTCCATGCAAAAAGGAGAGTAAGCCTGTCATGGTCTGCAGAGAAGCAGGTGGAGAAATGAGAGGCAGAGGCACCCTAGGTTCGCCATGTCTCCACGGCCTTCCTGTTCCCACAAACCCAGCTGCTCTTGACTGCCTCTCATTAGATTCTTATAGGCCCCTGTGATCCTGGTAATAACCTCCCTCTTTGTGGGTCAGCTTGAATAAGTCTCTCTTCCTGCTAACCTCGGCTAGAACCACACTCACCAACACAGTTTTCTGAATTGAACTGAGAAGTCTGTCTTGGAGGAGCGTGGTCCATGGGGAAACAGCCT